ACTGTGACCTTCTAATTCACAGGTTGACCCTCAATCACTGTGCTACACTGATTGGGCCCTTTTATTTCTTGTTTCAAATTTGGCTAATGGGAGCATCTTTAAGCTGATTCATGATGTCCTCTTGACCATGTTTCCATCTGTTTTTGAGCACTTATTTAAGCACAGAAAAGGCTGGTCTTGCCAGCTTTAGACCTGGAATCAGCCATTTATCCAAAGAATCCTGGTTAATTTTAGTGGGAAATGGTATTTAGAAACCAAGATCTCAGCACAAAGTGTGTTTGTTCCTACTAGGATACCATTGTTTATAGGCTCTTTTAGTGGTCAGGGCTGGGAAGTAAATTTTAAAGACATTATGACTTTATATTTTGAGTTCATACTGATAATTCCACTTCTAATCCAATATCACAAAGTTCTTTTGGTTTTTGTTGTAGTTCTTTTCCTAGCATTTTCCGTTGGTAACTTAATTCTTTTATTTTTATTCTTTTGTTTTGATTCGTATGTTTAACACTAAAGTTTCCTGTGATCACTGCTTTAATTTGTTCCAGAGATTCTGATATTTAGCCTTTTCATTATCATTTAAAAAATTATCATATTTTAATAGAAAGTTAAATTCTAGGTGGAAGGGCCTTCTGATTTTTAATTTTATTTCAATTGTTTTATTCCAAGAAGATTAGATAATGTGTTTTTGTTTTTATTTCTGCTTTTTGGAACTCTATTGCCTATCTATAAAGATTGTTGTTAGGATTAACTGAGTAAAATATTTTGATATGGCACACACTGTTATCTTTTATTATTATGTATACTTTACATTAGTGGGGGTAAAGGATGTGTAGTGTTGTATTTAACATTGGATTAACTGTAGAAGTTGATAAGTATAGCCAACGTTAGCTTACTTAAAGTTTAAAGATAAATTTTAGAAATGCCATATGTTTGGTTTGATTCTTATACGATCCTTTATTAGTCTAATCTGCATATGTCAGCTGTTGTGTAGCCATAGATTTATAGAGTAGTCTGTATTATATCCTGGTTTATATTTATTTTTATTTTATTTAATTAATTACCTAATACCTGCAGTTTATTTTATAGGAAAGTTTTTTCTAAGAGTGTGATTATCTTTTTTTAAAAAAATTATTTGTTTCAAGTATTAAGTATGTCTCCTTTTTCCCCCATTGATCTCTTCCCGGTCGTTGTCACCCCCCTACTGCCTATGTCCATGGGTTCTGCTTATATGCATGCATACAAGTCCTTGGGTTGACTGCCCCCTCAACCCCCGCGCCTTCCCTCTGAGGTTGGATGGTCTGTTTGATGCTTCTATGTCTCTGGCTCTATTTTAGTTCATCAGTTTATGTTGTTCATTATATTCCACAAATGAGTGAGATCAT